TCGGTAACTGTCATCGTTAACCGACATCAGTAACTGCCATCGGTAACTGTCATCGGTAACCGACATCGGTAACTGCCATCGGTAACCGCCATCGGTAACCGACATCGGTAACTGCCATCGTAACTGTCATCAGTAACCAACATTGGTAACTGCCATCGGTAACCGCCATCGGTAACCGACATCGGTAACTGCCATCGTAACTGTCATCAGTAACCAACATTGGTAACTGCCATCGGTAACCGCCATCGGTAACCGCCATCGGTAACCGCCATCGGTAACCGCCATCGGTAACCGCCATCGGTAACCGCCATCGGTAACCGCCATCGGTAACCGCCATCGGTAACCGCCATCGGTAACCGCCATCGGTAACCGCCATCGGTAACCGCCATCGGTAACCGCCATCGGTAACCGCCATCGGTAACCGCCATCGGTAACCGCCATCGGTAACCGCCATCGGTAACCGCCATCGGTAACCGCCATCGGTAACCGCCATCGGTAACCGCCATCGGTAACCGCACCGTCATTGGTAACTGCCATTGGTAACCGACATTGGTAACCAACATTGGTAACTGCCATCAGTAACTGCCATTGGTAACCGCCATTGGTAACCGACATTGGTAACCAACATTGGTAACCGTCATTGGTAACTGCCATTGGTAATCGACAATGGTAACTGTCATCAGTAACCGCCATCGGTAACCTCCATTGGTAACTGCCATCGGTAAGCATCATTGGTAAACATCATCAGTAACAGACATCAGTAACTGCTCCACAGACATGCCTGGCAAGAAGGATAACTCTGTCCCCCTACTGCCCGAGAACTTATTCTTTGCCTTCGGAAGGTTGACTTTGAATAGTCTGGCATGATGTGGACAATGCGAGTTTTAATGACTGTTCTACTCAATGTCAACAGTAATTAAATTCTTGGTCTGAACAGCCCCCAACCATTTTCCACAACCATGAACACTGAAATAGAGTCAAAGTCTCGGGGGTTGCCGAGTGGAGAGAAAAGGGAGGACTCTCAAAATGTATAACAGAAAAAGGGGGGAGTACCTGTCAATTGTAGTGCCGGTGCTAATGAGGCTAATATGGAAAGATACTTTCAAATAAATTTGATATTTGTCCAAATTATACAAAAAATACAAATCAAATTCTGCCAAGCCTGCGCAGAGGGGAGGCATGCAAGATGAGAGAAGGTTCTTCCACTGCTCCAGCTTGTGTTGCCTTGTTCCCCAGGAGAGGAGTCCCTCTGTTGTGCATTTCCCTAATGCACATACTTCCAGACCAACAAAAGAGCGATTCCTCCTCTCTCTCAGCCCCAGACATATCCCCACGTTTGGAAGGGTCTCTTGGGCTCTATGCTCCACCATCTTGTCTGCAGCGGTTGCCCTGGTTACAACTAGGCGCAACTTCCCATGCAAAACCAGTGCTGCACATCAGCGGAAAACCATCCACCTGCCTTGCTACTGGCTCTGTATAAAATGCAAAGGGGGTGTGAGTTACTGAACAGACGGTGACAGTCCCTGAAGCAAGGACCCCATGCGTGCAGCCCCCAGCTCTGGCACCCCTTCTTCCCACCACTGCCCCCCCGATCTCCACATTCACCTCCACTGGCCCCATATTTCTGCCCCCCCCACTGCATGTGTCCCACTAGCTGCCTTCCCCAAAGAGCCCATTGCACCTACCCATCCACTGCCCCTCCCCCCACTACATATTATTATATCTGCCTAAAGGGATGAAGCCTGAGGGAATCCCTGGCCTCTGGGGACAGATCAAGTGCTAGGAGGCCTTAACCCCGCCTCCCATTAAAGGAGCAGTCCCTGAGGGATCCCCCGATGGGATATAAGAGGATGGATGAGGCATAACCCCCTTGTTAATGGGGCCAGTGTGTCCCCATCCCGACACACAGTGGCAGGGAAACAACAGTCCCCCCTCTATAGTCGGGCACTGAGAGGGGAAGCGACTTGCCCCAGGAAATGGCACACGGCAGAGCCCAGCTCCCCTCTGGGCTAGGCCTGTACTCGAACCGCAGGGTTCAGGCTGGCTCGCCCTTGCAGCGTACTTGGGAGGCTCATGGTTTTGGGATTTTAAAGCCTCAGCACCTGGAGTCACATTGCTCCATGAGGCGCTCTGCATTCCAGTAAGCAGCGTCGCGAGACTCGTGCCTGTGGAGAACAGGTGAACTTAAAATCCCACGGCTGTGTTCAGCTTTGTGAACTGATTATGCCGGGTGTTGTCAACACTTTTGCACTCCCACGCTCAGCTGCAAACAGACTTTCTAGTTGTCATTTCATGGTTCCTTCCCTTCTCTCACTTTGTTTTTCTGACCACTTCTTTCTTCCTGTTTTCTCGGATCCGCTGTACCATTTACAAAAACTCTACCAACAAAAGATTTTTAAATATCCAAGGTGGCTGTTGGGTCGTCATCATGCTGTTTCTGGGGAACCCTTCTCGCCCATCTTTTATTGGGCCAAGCTCTGTCGATGGTGCCATGCCGATTGACAATAGCTAGGAATCTTACCTACTTGACCTGCTGATTTTGTGCTAAGAGCTTTAGATTACCACACTCGCGCCTCTCACGGGCTGAGAACTGTCCCCAACAGACTTTCATCTCTACACTTCTGCTTACTGAAATTAGCCAAAAAAGGAGATCTAAAATAGCTACAGCAAAGTCTCCCATTTCTGTTTCTTTCAGATGTTGCCTTTTACTCCTTTCTCTTCCCAGACACTGATATGTTTCATACGCACAAAGAAATCCCACATAAATGGGCCTATTTTATCCCTGCGTCTGGAATATTTTGGCCAATTGCTTTTTTCAAGCTGCCTTAAAAAGGCACAGAAGAGGCTGGCCTAATTCTACTGACACCGGTGTGAATCGGGAGTAACTTCACTGAAGTCAAGGGAGTATAAAACGGGTGAAAACTCCAGGGAAGCTCACTGGATTTGCGTAGTTGCCGCTGAAGGTTACAAGGAAATGTTACTGTGCGATATCTAATCTAATCTAGCATCTTGCTAGCATCCGTTTCTCAGTACAACTGTCCACATTCGGGAGTTAGGAAATGCTTGTCACCATCAGCTGGCTTCAAAGTAGAGCTGTAAAAGTTTTGAAGAGAGAGG